GCCGGAGGTGACCGACTTATGGCTTTTGCCTTATTTTTGGCTTATAAGCACTTGTAACTTTACCAAACGTGTAGATAAGTCGAAAAGTGCTTATAAGCTAGTTTGACCAGCTTATAAGCTTAGCAAAACACCCTCTTAATATTGAACTCATTATATCCTTAAAATTGTGGGTTCATATCACCGATTTATTATAATTTCAGTCAAACTTTATAAGTAAAAAAAAATTATACTTCGCATAAAAAATTATGAGTTCACTGTAGGCTATACTTGCCCCTTTCATCAACCATGCATGGCGCATTAACTTTTCCATTGGTCGGTCTCTGCTCTTATAAAATCAACTACAATTTAAATAGAAGAAAAGAATCTTACAATTTTTTGTATTTTATATATCCATTTCATGTGTTTCTACTTTTTTACCAATTTCATGTGAAGATGGTCAATATAATTGTGAAAAGAACATTTGTAATGGGCTGAAAATTCATCTCCCACGAAACGACCCTCCTTCCAGTTTGCTCTTTCTTTTATTTCTCATATTTACATTTCTAAATTGGTGCAAATAGTAGAGCAAAATGGATAGCGATGATTCACCTAAAATTAATATTTAAAAAGAAATTGTTGATCAACATTTTGATATTTTTGGAAATACAAACATACTGTTTCTAGTACTAAGGCGCTCGTAAAGATTAAGCGTGAAACCGACTTTTTCAAGTACATAGTACATCTTACTTATTTTTTCTTTAAAATTCATCATTTCATCTTTCCATTCAAAAAGTGAACGACTTAGGGGATTCATCTTTCCATTCAAAAGGTGAATGAGACACTTACATATCTATTATATCTTCTAATTAAAATTGTGTCTCAACATTTAGATGGTGTTGTGTTCCAGTTTCTAATTACATCCTTTAAATATATAGTTCCCTTTCATTCAAATCATATGTCTTCAATTAAAGTGGTGTTTATAATGCAAAAGTTCGCAACCAATAATTAAAAACCAACGTCTTTCGCTTTTAAAATCAACATAATTAATACTGTAGAATAATCTGACAAAAATAGAACACGACTCATATTGAAAGATCCTCTAACTCCACGGTCCAAGTACCAAGTTTATTACTCCTAAATCCTAATACAGTATGTTAATAATCATGTTCATTTCTCACCAAACATGCCCAATTTCAAAGCAGCTATTATTTGAACCACATATCACAGAGTTGGAATAATATAGTGATATCCTAACTGATACTATGAGTTAGTCGTTTGTACACCATTGTTAATTTAATTAGTGAACAAAAAGAAAAAAAGTTATAGAAAAAACACACCAAATTAACACCAGAATATTATAATTCGTTTAGCGTTCCATTAGCTTCATCTTATTATCTTTGTTTATTTTAAATTTTTTTTTACACTGTTATAGGGGGAAGTCAATCAGCCTCAATTCATTTTTTAAATTCTTTTTACAATCGAAAAGTACAGGAGGGCTAGTGGTTATAACTTATAACTTATAAGATCATTATTTTTATTTCGAAAAGTTGTATTCTAAGTAATTCATGCAAAATAACAAAGAATGAAGAAAAAAATTGTGGGGTGAGAGAGGCTCGAACTCTCGACCTCAGGATAACTCAGAAGCTATGAGACCTACGCGCTAGCCAACTGCGCCACCACCCCGTGCTGTTGTCAACTGGTATCTCTCAGATTTTGTTAATGAATATTTAACTCGGTAAATTCTAGGAAAGATATAATTCATATTCCTAATGCAAGAAATGAGTATATATATATATATTCTCGGTATATCCAAATTATAATATAAAAATTCACAATCACCATTGTCTTGGATTATTTTTTTTAATAAAATAAATAAGTTGATTAAATAGTAAAAGACATATAGGTATGGCACCATATTATGTACCCAATTGCTTTGACGTTATCTCGATTTATTCATATCTTTTGTTTTTAGGAAGCAAAAATTAATGTTTAAATCAAATTTTCTGATCGTTTCCAAAAGAATGACAAGTTCGAACTTTGGGATCAAAACATCTAATATGCAATAATATAAATTTGAATCTTGAAATTCAAAATTGTTTAAGTAATTAAATTTACAGATTTAGAAACTATACAAATACACTCTAACTCACAAGTCACAACTTTCTGTAGTTAAAATTATTTAAATATATATGATACTCAAAGAAAAAACTGCCTTTTTTAAATAGTAAATAAAAGTACTGAAAAAGTTTTTATGCCTCGTTACTCAANGCCCGATATCTTATCGGGTGGCTAGCGGATTTATACATTTAAAAGCCGATAACCGATAAGCCAAACCATTAAGAGTAAATAACCGCCCAATCCGCCCGATAAGCAGCCCTACTCAAAACTGCTTAACATGATTTTTCAACAGAATACGCGAATAGTACAACAAGGAGATGTTGATGACTTCAAACAAAACTTTGACAAATAATTCACGAAACATGGTAATTATTTTGATAGGTATATAAACATAGTCATAACAATTTCCAAATTAGCCTTACTACAGCAAATTATTGTGTCCAGGTTGGTCCATAACAAATACAGCTGTCACGAGCTTTTAGAAATAGTATATGAAAGTAGGACGAGTTTTACAAATAACTATTGTCTTATGAGTTAAAGAAAAATTTGTATTCAGCTTTACATTACATTTGATATTAGAGAGATCTAGGGCTGTATTATTTACCTTTTGCCGATTGTTGAAAGAAATGAAGCAAAAGCCATAACTGGTGAGAAATGAAAAACACAGAAAACTTGATTTAATTTAGGATAAGAAATTAATCTGAAAAATTGAGACCCTCTACATTGAAGAAGTAAAGAGCATAAAAAATATACATTGGTTTATACAAGGACTCAAGGAGAACCTTGTCTTGTTGCTTTTTAATTGGAGAACCTATGGCTGATGGAATATACTGCATAATAAAAAATAGGCTGAATACATCTAGAGACACTTAAAGTTGGCACTATTTTTCATTTAGACACTTAAACTTAAGAGTGTTACAATTGAACACTTATAATACCCTAAACTTTTTCAATTAGACACTTCTCGCTGAGTTGGCACATAGAGTGAACTTCACCCAAAATAGGCGCGTGAAGAGCCCAATAAACAGATTTTATCTTCATTTTTTCTTTTTATTTCTTTCTTCTTCTTCTTCTTCTTCTTTTCTCTCCACCATCACTTCCACCATTGTCTCCCCCACTTTCATCATTGTTGTGCCTCCACCATTAATTTAGTCCGAAAGTTTGAACCAACAATCGTCTAAGTTGATTGAAACCGAAGTGAGACCGTATTCTTCATTTGACCGAAGTGACTCTTTAAGAAAGCTTGAAGGTTTAAAATGGGTTACTTGATTTGATGAAAATTTGAGAAATTAATATTGGGGTTGTCTTCGAGTCTTCATGGGAAATCTTTAGCTGAAATTATAACAAATTTGGAAGAGTTTCTCTTGAAATTTTGGATTAAAATCGTGATTGGAACAAGAATACACATGAAGATAATGAAGAACACCAAGAATAATGATTTCAAGAACACCAATATGTCCTTTTTTTGTCTTTTCTTTTGTTAATAATGTGTCATTTTCTGATTGGGGTAAATTAAAGTTTTTTTTTCTTTTTGAGAATGTTATTTTATTTTGTTTACTAAATAGATTTTAAAATAGTTTTAAAACTCAAAATGATATATGATTTTTTTATTTGTCATTCACCACGTCAGCAGCGAGTGCATTGCACACACTTTGTAAGTTTGGCTAATTATCAAAAAAATGTCTAATTGAAAAAGTTTAGGGTACTATAAGTGCTCAATTGGAACACCCTTAAGTTTAAGTATCTAAATGAAAAATGGTGCCAACTTTAAGTGTCTCCAGATGTATTCAGCCTAATAAAAAGGTGCAGTAATCGGATGCACAAAGCATTTTATATTCACACAGGATCCGAGTAAAGATCGCACCCCAAGGGGTGTGATGTAAACACCTCGTCTAATGCAAGTTGGTGCGTTCACGACTCGAATACGTAACCTATGTATAATGAAAGTGCAGAAAACATTGGCATAAAAGAGAGATGGCTTCTTCGTCTCTATGGGAAACCATGATTTAATAATGTAAAAAGTTCAGTTTTTTTCCCCCCTTCTTCTTTGTTTCATTCCAACTTATTCTTAAAGACAATGATGTTTCAACTTCATGTATCTGAAACATCTATATTTTCCTTTTTTTTTTCCCCTACCTTTCTTTAGTTTTGTAAATGAAGTCGGCATAATTGCCTTTATTTTCTTTGGAAAATTGGAAATACCTTAATTAGTTCTTTGTTGAATTCTAAAATATACAACAAACGTTGACATTCACCGAATATACAAATATAAGGTGCATCAAATAACAACGGCTCAATAAATTTTGTGGCCTAAAGCCAAAATAAATCCACGAGATTTTGGTCTAAGTGGTAACAACATAACGCAGTGATGAGATTAGGCTCACATCACGATTTTGAAATCTCCCATGGACAAAAGCAATAATATTTAAGTGAAAAAGGGTAGAGGGATAAGCTCATTATCCATCAAATTCGAATCTTGCACCACAACCCTTGAGAATATTTTAGTTAAAGAAGATGAGCCAACTTGATTTCAATGTATGGATCAATCAAATACGACAAAAAAATATAAAAGAAATTATATGTTAAGATTGTCTTGTTGCAAGGAGATCTTTGTGTTCATCAATTCAAATACAGGAGGGTACCTAGTTTACTTCTCACTTTAGGAGAACATTTCAGTAAGCTTTTGGTTTACGCACGGTTAATTAGATCGATCTTAACATAACTTTCTAACCTGAAAGTACTGACGAGAAGTCCGAGCTAACTGTACATATTTTAGAAAATATGTTGAAGTTATGTGTCAAGGGGCAACTGGAGCAGTTACTTGTTGTTAGCAAATTTTGCTTATAACAATAGTTATCATACCAGCATTCACATAAAGCTTTCTGTAAAGGTAATGATATGTATCAACCGTTCTAAAATCAAAAGTTTGTATTCCCATAATAATTAAATTAGCAGCTGCTATGCAACATTATTTCAAGAAAAAACTTCAAATCCTCTATATCATGATTCTGGATATTTGAACATGCCTAGTGATGGATTATACACAGTGAATCCACCATCAATGAATAAATTGTGCCCACTGATATATTTAGCATCATCACTAGCCAAGAACAGTGCTGCTTTTGCAACATCGTCCACCTTTAATGTCACTCCTTGAAGGTTCCCAGCCGAACTCAACGCCTTCTCAAACGCTTCATTCTCAAGCCCCACAACCTTCACCGCCAACGGCGTAACCATCGCGTAGGGTGACAAGCAATTCACGCGTATACCAAATTGTCCCAGCTCCACTGCCAGATTTTTCGTAAGCCCCAACACGGCGTGTTTGGAGCTGCAGTATGCATGTGATGCTGCAGCTCCGACTCTGGAGCTTACGCTGGCAGTGGAGATGATGCAACCGCTACGTGTCGGGACCATGACACGAGCGGCATGCTTCATGCTCAAGAAAACTCCCGTCACGTTTATACTGAGCACCCGTTCGAAATCTTCCTTCATGTTGTCGATGATTCTTGGCTTGGTCTCGTCGGATATGCCAGCATTGCAGATTATGATGTCGAGTTTTCCGAATGTGGAGATGGTTCTATCGACGGCGTTTTGGACATGATCTTCGTTTGTCACCTCGCAGTGAATGTAAATGGAGTGTGATGGGCTTCCAAGGGCGTTGCTAACTGAGTTGCCGAGTTCATCTTGTACATCAGCAATAACCACTTTGGCTCCATGTTCAGAGAAGAGCTTTGCAGTTGCTTCACCGATGCCACTAGCCCCTCCGGTTACAATCGCAACTTTCCCCTCTAGCCTTCATATACAGAATATGGAAGTAATATTGGTCTTAATTTCCAAATGAAAGGCAAGAATTTTGAGGTCAAAACTCATCTAATATTTAGCATAAATTCGAACATTGATTCTCAAATTTGTTTAAGTAAATTTACATATTCAGAAACTGTATGGAAACACTCTAAATCATAACTTTCAATAATTGAAAGTATTTTAAAGAAAATTTGAAAATATAGTAGTCAAAGAAAAAATGTTTGCCTAAATAATACTAATGGCAAGTAAGTTATGTTCAAATTCCAGCGGAGACAAAAATTACTAGGCGATTTCTTCTTAGCGGAGACGATAATGTACTAATGCCTAAGTCTTGGTGGATAGAGTTATTCAATACCTATACTAGTGGGAGATACGTATCAGGTACACATAGAAACAGTCGAGGTGCGAGCAAACTGACCGGACACTATGGTCAATAAAAAAATGGCAAGTCTTTTTGGATGCAAAGAGCAAGATCTTATGCCCCTTTACTAAAACAGCTTAAGATTTTTCAAGAGCAACAGGAGATGTGATCTCAATGATATTTACGCATATGGTAGGTTCGATAGGAGTAAAAATCAAAGTCACAGTTTCCACTTTCCAGATTAGCCTTAGTAGAGTAAATTTTATCCAGGTTGGTCCATAATAATAAAAACTGTCACATGCCTTTTGGAATAAGTATAAGAAAGGATACTTTTCAAAGAATGTTTTATGAATTAAAGGAGATCACATATTCATCCTTCTATTGATATTAGAGAGATTGAGGGCTGCGAAACTTACCTTTTGCCGATTGTTGAAAGAAATGAAGCAGAAGCCATAACTGGTGATCAGAAATGAAAAACACAGAAAACTTGATTTAATTTAGGATGAGAAATCTAAACCAAAGACACTCTACATTGAAGATTGAAGAAGCAAATACTGATATATATATACCAAGGAGACTCTCCACAGCATTGTCTTTTTTGCTGAGCATTTTCCTCAGCCTATACAGATGGAATATTGCATAATGTTGGAAGTGAAGACAAATTTGGAATAAAAAAATACAGGGTCTTGATCTCTATGGGAATCATGAACTAATAATGCAAAAAAGTTATTTGCATTTTTTCCCCTCTTCTTTGTTTCATTCCAACTTACTTATTCATAACGAAAATGATGTTTCAACACCATGTATCTGCATTTTCCTTTTGTCCCTTCTTTCTTTATTAGCTTTATGAGGTATGCACAGTTTCCTTTTCTTTTCTTTGGAAAACTGCATATACCTTAATTCTTTGTTCCATTCTAAAATGTGCAACAAACATAGCAAACATAATGATATTCTCTAAATATACAAATATAAGGTGCATTATATAACAACAACAAAAAACTTCTGGTTCCCTAGAGCAGATATTGGCTTATCTATATGATTGATAAACTGAAGATATAAAGGCTTTAGGTGTTTCACCGAAACTAATAAAGGAAAAAAGTTTTTCTTAAGTGAATGAACCCCACAACAATATTTTAACACATACAACCCATGTCTTATCCATTAACTAATCGCCATTAGCATAGATAACGTAACGAACAATGTCAAGAAAGAAAATTCATACTACATGTCTTCATCGAATTTCTTTTTAAAGAAACACGAGAATCCACTTTTTTTTGTTAGGCCAGAAGGTAGCTTTACTAGATAAACCTCCTTTTCTTATATAATAATCCTAACAAAACCAAAACCAATGCTCACAAGCGTATTGGGTGAGTGGTTTCCCACCTAGGATACCTGAAATCGATTATCCTCGCCATAAGCAATATTTGAGACAAAGTTATGCGCCGCAACGAATTTTTTTTATATGATTCTTGATATTGATATGGTAAAATAAGGGAGGATTGTGTGTGTACGATGGAATTGGGTTGTGCGCGGCAATGGATTGTGTGTATTATACTTGTTGTTGTTGTTGTTGTTATTGTTGTGTTTTGTGTGAGTCATGCATCCTACGTGAACCGTTGTATTACTTCAATGTATCAATATGTGCTCCCGTAGTTACTTGGTGAATTGATTTTCAAGATGAATTTACTACGCGGAGTAACTATCTCATACTATTTTGAGTTGTTGATAACATAACGGTTTTAAATTATCATTTATCAATATCATAATCCTCCTTTATTCTACCATAAATATCACATATATAATCTGTTGCGGCGTTCAACCCAATCCCACCGTATCAATATCAAATCCTCCTTGATTCCACCATATCACAACCGTTACGCATGCAATCCGATCCATAAACAATTTAAATCAACAACAATAATCCAATAACTCAATTTACAAGAATTTCTACCATTAAAGGATATGAGTACACTGCAATAAAGGAACCATGTAATAATCAAGGAATGCGACAAATATTACAAAAGCAACATGACAAGTGAAGCACGTGACAACGAAGGTGTGCAAGTAAAATAATTACGGCAAGTAGCAGATAAGCACGGAGTCATGGAAGGGACTCAACAATTAAGAGGTCACAAGACAATAAGAAAGGCAACAACTTCAACCAAAGAATATAAGAGCAAAATAACAAGTAAGAGGAAGAACAAGTGCTAACAACGTCAAGTATAGCATGTAAGAGTAGATTAACGATGAAAGATATCACATGTTATGATAATTCAATTAAGGGCATGAAAAGTGTGTAGATACTCGAAACGGTCAAATACCTGTCACGACCCAAAAATCACACATGTCGTGATGGCGCCTATCTCAATACTAGGCAAGCCGACAACATCAATAACCCACATTTTTTTTAAATACAGAAAATATAATAATTAAGTTTAAGAGAAAATTCCACAAATACTGGATATAAATACACTCTCAAAACCCGGTATCACTGAGTACATGAGCATCTAAATGATAACAAAGTCCGACTGCTAAAAACACTGTCTATAAATTTAGAATAGTACAAAAAACTGAAAGGGAAGAGAGTCAAGGTCTGCGGATGTCAAACAGCTACCTCGATAATCTCCAACATATAAAACTCCGAAAACTAGCAATCGCCGTGTCTGGAAGTACCTAGATCTGCACACGAGGTGTAGGGTGTAGTATGAGTGCAACCAACTCAGCAAGTAACAATACTAAATAAAGAACTGAAAGTAGTGACGGGCTTCTCAGCTAAGTCCAATTACAGTAATTTCCAACATAAGAAAGTAGGCATGCTTGCAAGTTCAACAATTAATGCCCAAACAATAATTTCATATCAGGTTTGAATGAAACAGGAGATAATATCTTTCAGAAATTTTTCCAAAACAGGGATATATGACAATTGTAGTACAATAATAATGAAATCAATGCATCCTCTCAGAGCAACAGTCACTCAGTCCTCCCACTCGCTCAACACTCAACACTCGCACTCAGTAGATACCTGCACTCACTGGGGGTGTGTACAGACTCCGGAGGGGCTCCTTCAGCCTAAGCGCTATAATCTGCACGGACAACTCACGTGTTGCATGGACAATTCACGTGCTATAGTATCAATATGTGAATCCGCACGGATAACTCACGTGTTGCACGGACAACTCACGTGCTATAGTATAATATCTGGATCTGCATGGACAACTCACGTGCTATAGTATATTATCTGGATCCGCACGGACAACTCACGTGCTATAGTATAATATCTCACAATCAAGCACTCGGCCTCACTCAGTCATAAATCTCTCCAGTCTCTCGGGTTCTCAATAATCATGAAAATCAACCCAAACAACAATGATATGATGCATCAATAATGAACAATAGAGACTGAGATAAAATAAATAAGTAAACTGTGATTAAGTACAAAACAATAGTTTAGCAGATAATTCAACATGTACACGACCTCTGTGGGTCCATGCAGTGCCAACACATAATCTAAACATGATTTGTGGTTCAATTTCTCTACTACATGGAGAATGTACATATAACAACAGATTATTCAACTACACAGTTCCATAAAATTTGACCAAGTCACAATTTCTATGGTGCACGCCTACACGCCCGTCACCTAGCATGTGCGTCACCTTAAAACCGATCACAAAACATAAAATTATGGGTTTCATACCCTTAGAACCAGATTTAGAACTGTTACTTACCTCAAACCGTAAAATTTTTTATTCTGCTATGCCCTTGCCTCGCGAATCGGCCTCCGAACGTCTCAAATCTAGACATAATTATTTCGATTCAATCAATACGAATTATAGGAATTAATTCCATATGAAAATACAAATTTTCCAATAAAATCTGAAATTACACTCAAAAATCGCCCATGGGGCCCACGTATCAGAACCCGATAAAAGTTATAAAATATGAACGCCCATTCAACCACGAGTCCAACCATATAAAATTTACCAAATTCCGACCTCAACTCGACCTTCAAATCTCAAATTCTTATTTTAAAATCTCTAGGCCCAAATCCTCTAATTTCACCTCAAAAATATGTAATCTAGTCGAAATACTAAATGATAATCGAATATTATTGACTAACAATGATCACAAGTGACTTACCTCAAGATTTCCCATGAATTATCGTTCAAAAATCGCCTCAACCCGTGTTTGAAATGTCCAAAAATGAGAAAAACTCTCGGACCTGTCGTTTATATTCTGCCCACGCATTTTTCGCATCTGCGATGCACTTAGCCGCATCTGCAGTCTTGCAAATGCGAGGACCTTCACGCTTTTGCGGGGTGAGACGCTTCTGCGGATATACTTCTGCGATGAGGCTTGGCCCTTCCCTTTTCCACTTCTGCGATCGCGAAGCCGTAGGTGCAACTCCGCCTCTGCGGTAAGGAGTGCGCATCTGCGGCCACCTTTCCTAGTACAAGCCGCATCTGCGACCATTTTGTCGCTTTTACGGTAGCGCACCTGCGACCATTTCCATCGCAGGTGCGTTTGCACCAGAACTGGAAAAATTCCAGAATTGCTTCAAGTCCAAATTTGATCCGTTTAACCATTCGAAACTCACCCGAGGCCCCCAAGACCTCAATCAAATACACCAACCAGTCCTAAAACATCATACGAACTTAGTAGAAACCTCAAATCATATCAAACGCTAAAACCACGAATCATACCCCAATTCAAGCTTAATAAAAACTAACGAATTCCAACTTCTATATTCAATGTCGAAACCTATCAAATCAAGTCCGATTGACCTCAAATTTTGCGCACAAGTCATAAATGATATAACGGACCTATTCAAATTTTCAGAATCGGATTCCGACCCCGTTATCAAAGAGTCAACTCCCCGGTCAAACTTCCAAATTTAAATTTCTATTTTAGTCATTTCAAGCCTAATTTAACTACGGACTTCCAAATAATTTTTCGGACACACTCCTAAGCCCAAAATCACATACAGAGTTATTGAAATCATCAAAATTCTATTCCAGGGTCGTTTACACATAAGTCAATATCCGGTCAACTATTTCAACTTAAGCTTTAAACTTTGGAACTAAGTGTTTCAATTCATTCCAAAACCTTACTAGACCTGAACAAATTACCCCGGCAAGTCACATAACAACTGTAAAGTACAAATTGAGCAGTAAATGGGGGAACGGGGTTGTAATATTCAAAACGACCGATCGGGTCGTTACAATACCACATATAGGCCGTGTACCCACTCGTCACCTCACGTACACGGCTTTCACATAACACGAATAACATAATTAACCCAAATCCTAAGGGGTAGTTTTTCCCACACAAAGTTAGGCAAGATATTTTCCTCAATTTGGCCAAATCAATACTCAAATTAGCTTTTCTTTTACAAATTCGCCTCTGGTTGGCTCAATCTAGCCAAAGACGACTTAAATACATCAAACAATGTAAGAGAAAACAATTTCAATTAACAAAGCTATGGGTCCAAGGGTAGGTCTTTACTACCCATAGCCCCACGAGTCCATATATGCATTTTA